CAAGGATTCTGAGGCTTCATCTGACATACTTTGAAGGTGTTGCAAGGAGGGACCGATCCTTGGAGTGGATGTCTTACTTGGGAGGGTGGAGGGACAGCACAGGAGGGGAAGACCCTCTATGAGGTGGATTGATTCAATGACTGGGGTAATCAGGGTGGATGTGTTGGAGACAGTGAGATTGGCAAAGGACAGAGCAGGCTTTAGGGCTGTTGTACATAGGGTCACTATGAGTCGCAAGCAACTCGACAGTACATAACAACATCTGGAAAATACCGTCCACTTGGTCTGATATTTTGGACCTGACTTACGGTCCTCAAAGCTTCTGTAGGGATGCTGTAGATATTAGAGAGGTCATAGCATTATCCAGTGTAGACTGGAACTGCTGGACCATGACCTCTAGTTCCTCATCTATCTTGAGAATTAAACTCAAATTTCCATTTGTTACAGGTGACGGATCTTGCAGCTGGCTACTCTCTGGTAGTTCCCCTTAAGAAAGGCATGGCAGATAGGTACTCCCTCCTTGCCATTTTGTAGGTCAGTTGATAAAAGCCCTAGGCTAAACTGCTACTTTGTGCACAACCAAAAGGAAAGCTCTCCTGTCTTCTTGAGAGCTTGTTTGGAGGTTCTAGCAGGGGAGTGCAGCTATGCGTATACCTTTGACCCTTGACCGAAGGACAGTCTTCCTTCTATCAGGGATGGTCATCTTTTTTAACAGAGTGCCCAGGTTCAGGAGAGACGCACACGAATCGGCGAGGGAGGAGACACCTGCCTAGCCAGCCAGATCAGCTGAATCAACCCTGGTGATCAATGGAGTGACAGATGTCACAGCCGGATCGCCCTCCTGTCTTCTTATAACCATCCTCATTCACTTTGAAGCATGAATGATTGGCAATTTGAGCAGCAAAACTCCTTGTTCTGAAAGTCATAGTGAAATACAAACTCATTTTTGCTAACTCTCAATTTGGACATCTTGCTGGAATTAGCAAATGTTGCTAACATTTGCATTTGTACACATTCTTCAGTATGTCTCTTGCAGAAGGCACCTGCATTTGCCCCACACTGCCTAATCCTGCCTCACTGACTTCTTCAATGCATCCACCTCCGGAACTTTCACTGCTGCTGCTAGTGCCATTGGCAAAGCACCAGAATTTTTCAAGACAAACTTCTAAAAACCCAAAATTCTTAGAAAAAATTGAGAGTCTGGAAGAGAAGGATTAGGCCTAGGAGCATAAATTTCTTTTCTTCTTTTAAATCAGTTTTGACTGATAAAAGGCCACTGTCAACAACACAGGGGAGCTATGATGGCCTAGGGGTTAAGGACTGTGCAGCCAACTCAAAGGCACATAGTTCAGATCTACCAGTCACTCTATGGGAGAAAGATAGACAATCTCCTTCCATACATTTTACGTCTCTGAAAACCCGTTGGGAGGTCAGCTATGAGTTAGTTCCTGCTTGAACAGTAACAACAAACATCTACAATATAGTTTTTCTGAAAAGAGAAAACTACTCTTAAAACCACTATATAAATGGGGACTTGAAAAGATAATGTAATAATAACCATAGATCAATGGTAATTGACTATATGTAAAAGTGTATAAATTATTGTGTGAAACAGAATGTAAATGAGGGATTGTGAAGTACAAGAATAAAACACAACGTAAATTCTTATATGAAAACCAATAAATTAAAAAAAAAACAAACACAATGTAATACATACTGTAGCGACTCCATCTCCACATGCAAAAGAATGAAGTATTTTAAATAATACACAAAAATTAATTCAAAGTGGGTCAGTGACCTAAATATAAGAAGTAAAATAATAAAATTCTTAGAAAAGAACACAAGAGCAAAACTTTGGAGCATAATCTTTGACAATGGATTATTAGATTTGACACTAAAATCCCAAGCAATGAAAGGCAAAATAAATAGACCTTATAAAAATGAATATTTTTTTTCCTAACCATCTATTGACGTAGTGGTAAGAAGCTGCACTGCAATCCTCAGGGTACATAGTTTGAATCCACATCCACCAGCTGCCTCAAGGATGGGCAATCTCCTCCCATGGCTCTGAAAACCTGTTTTCAGAAGGTCAAATATGGGTTGATTCCAACTCGACTACACACAACTACAACTCAGCAAGGGAGCGCTGATGGCTTAGTGCTAATGATTGCACTGCCAGCCCAAAGGCAAGCAACTC